AGTCAAACTGTTAGACTCAATAATCCTAGTAGGACTCAAACTAAGTTGTCATATCCTATTTCAATTCAAAGAAGACTCAATAACTCTAATCCTACTTATGCAATGACCCTGATTTTTTTTTTTGATAAATGAAGAATTTATTAATAAACCACTGATAATAGAAAACAATTGGAGAGGTACGATCTGCAACCTCTCCAACCCATCAAGAACTAAAAAGGATTACAATTGAGCCCAATACAGATTTTCCCTATTAGCCCTTGCTTGGCTAAACAATCAGCCATAGCATTGGCAGATTTCCCTACCCATTGTATTCTAACATCCAAATTCCTCGTCAAGCATTTGAATCTTTTAAGTTCATTTTTGAAGCACCAAACTGTAGTCTCTAGTTTTTGTAACCACCTGAGAATCACCTTCTATTTAGAGGTGTAAATAGGGGTGGATTCGAGCCGAGCCGAATAGTATGAGGCTTGAGCTCGGCTCGCCAAGGTTGTATAAGGCTTGAGCTCAGTTCGAGCTAAGAATATTGAGCTTGAGCTCGACTCGAGTCAAAAACTCATAAGCTCAAGCTCGGCTCAGATCGAGTTCAATTTGAGGGAAAATATTTTATAAAAATAAAAAATTATATATAAAAAATACTTTTTATTTGATATTTAAAAAATTAAGAATTATAATATTTTTATTATATATAAAAATATATATATATATATATATATATATATATTCGAGCTCGGTTCGTGAGCCTCATGAGCCAAGCTCTATTAGGCTCGAGCTCGACTCGTTTATTAATCGAGCCCATAAATTGGGCTCGAGCTCGGTTGAAATCGAGCCGAGCCGATCTTTTCACGAATCAAGCTCGAGCAGCTCGTGAAAAGCTCGGCTCGTTGCCACCACTGGGTGTAAATCAAGTCGTGCCGCCTGCGACTCGGCATGGCCCGACATGAATTTGGACCAGCTCGGCACGACAGCCCACGGGCCATGCTAGGCTTGGCACGATGGTCTATGCCATGCTAGGCCGGGGGTTCGTAGTCCATGAACTGGCACGGCATGGCACGGCCCGCAAGGCCCATAGCGGGCCACGCTCAACCCATCCGAAAACTAGTCATCTGGCCCGGTGCCCCCCAACGGCTAATTTCATCTTTTTTTTTTNTTTTTTTTGGGGGGGGGGGGTTTACATAAATACCCCATTAATAGCTACAAACAGCTATATAGGGGGGTATTTATGTATTATGCTAATGGAGGAGAGAAAAATGACACAAATGCCCCCCAACAACTATATAACAACTAGTTTAGGGGCTTTTTGGGTAAAGTTATAAGTAACTTTACAATGACCAAAATACCCCTCCCAACAACTAAAAAACAGCTAGTTTTTAGGGTATTTTGGGCAATTGAATTATTTTCAATTCCTATAAATAGCCCTATCCTCTACCATTCTTCTCATCACACCAATTCAACATTCAACAATTCTCTTAATCCCTTCTCTCTCTCTCTCTCTCATACATTCTCTACAATTTGAGTGAACTCTGATAGTCTGATTGGCTGATTGTCTGATTCTCCAATTCTCAACTTTATTGAAGTTTCAACAAGAAGAAGGCTTGCTGCCTTGCTCAACCAGCTCAAGTATCTCAAGTTAGCAATTTGGGAGGCTTGGATGTTGAAAGGCTTTAACCATTGAAATCAAGTTGGGATTCTAAACCAGCAATCCAGGTAAGTCCAATTAAGTTAATTTTATTTTTTTAGAATTTAAAAAAATAGCCAATTCTTCCCAAAACCAATTCCCCAAGTTTAGTAGCCCGGTTTGGAAAATATTTAAAATAGAGGATGTTGAGGGGAAGGGGAAAAGAGTAGTTTGCCAAAAAAGTAGAAAAGACTTTAGCTATTGTAGCAAGGGTGGTATTGGCCATTTGAGCAGACATTTTCTCACACATGAGAAGGAAGAAGAAATAACCCACAATTAAAATGAATTGTTGAAATAATGGAAAATAAATTTAAAAAATATTGGGAGAACATTTCTCCCCTTTATTGCTTAGCTACAATATTAGATCCTAGGATTAGGAAAAATGGTTTAGATATTTTACTTGAAACATATTGTGAAAATATGAATATTGAAATTGGAAGTAAAAAAGAAGAAATTGATAATTTATTATTTGAAATGTACAATTTATATCATATATATATATATATATGAATCTGATTATCTGAAGCAGTAGGAAATAATCTTACAACTTGTATAGCATCTAACATCTTCAGATCTTCTACTTCTGATCTTGAGCCCAGTAGTAGAAGAGAAAAATTGTTTTATTTAATAAGTAGACGGCAGAAATCTGCTACTTCTACAACAAGTTCATTTACTGAACTTAATTTTTATTTACAAGCAAATTTTTCTATTTTAGGTGAGAGAACAAATAACTTTGATATTTTAGCCTGGTGAAGTGAACATTCAAAAAATTATCCAGTTCTCGCCGCCATGGCACGTGATCTACTAACCCCTCTGGTGTCTACAATTCCATCGGAGTCTTGTTTTAGTGCAGGTACCAGGGTGTTGGACGACAAGAGAAGTTGCATGAATGATGAAAGTATAGAGATGTGCATCTGCTTTAAAGATTGGCTAGATGCAGAAGATAGATTACAAGACAAAAGAGGGCATGATACTACATACACCGGATATTTCACCTGAAACAGATGATGAAAGTCATGATTCATGAACAATAGTTGACTAGTTGTATAGAATTTTTTTTCAAACTATTGTAAATTTTGTTTTAATTTTATTTAATTTATTTGCTATTTTTTTAACAATGTAATTTTGTATTTTCAATTTGTAACTATATTGTATTTTTTATATTTTATTAATTTATTCCATTTTCATATTTTATTCATCCAAGTATCCAACCATTGTATGCTTTGTAATTTGTATCTTTCAAATTTAAAAGAAATAAAATTCCTATTTTTCTTCCAATTTCTTATTCCATCATTCTTGATTCTTATTTGGTTAAGTATTTTTTTTCATTTATGTGTTAGATTTCTCATTTCTTAATTTTTCAAATAGTTCTCAAAGGCCAAAGCTCAAAGGAAAGTTAAATATTTTAGCTTTACACTGTTACATAGAAAAGAAATCAAATTTTTCATTAAAAAAAAACAAAAAAAGTCAAAAAATCAGTCTAGCCCAGTTCGGCCCAGGCCCAAGGCCCGCCCTGCGGTCCAACCCGACACGGCCCAACATGCAGCCCGGTCCGGCCCAAGCCCGCGGCATGGCACTGGCCCGCATGGGCCTGGGCCGTGGGCCGTGCCAGGCCAACCCCCAAATTGTTCATCGGGGAGGGCGGCATGGCCCGCGGACCAGCACGGCACATGTGGGCCACCTGCAAGCCGTGTCGTGACAGCCCGGCATGGCCCAGTTTACACCTCTACTTCTATTAGTAGCTACTCCACTCCCAGTTGTACAGCAAATTGTACCCCTTGTAGTGCAGCTAATAGTTCTGCCCTCAAAGTCCTCTTCACCTAAAGGACCAAAAAACAGAAAAATTACAGAACCACTTACATTCCTTATAACCCCTCCCATCCAAGAAAGACCTGGATTGCCCAAACTACTACCATCAAAATTTAGCTTCATGAAACGTTTAGGTGGGGGTACTAGGCTCATGTGCATCTTTGTCTTTAGAGAGGAACTGCTTGCCACTTCTACCCAATGCCTCCACATGTCATTAAAAGAGAACTACCGAAATAAATCCAAAGATTTTAACCACACTATAGCCCTGTATAGGATACATTCCTTCAAATCTTATTGGCTTTGCACCTTCTCTTGGAATATTTTGGCATTTCTTTCTTCCCACATTGTCCAAAGCAAAGCTGCTCTTGCAACCCCCCACATTATTCTTCCTCTTCGATGGCGCCAAACAAAGGTAGAAGGGTCAAAAAGCTTGCTTACATCTGCTGGCCTATTCCACCTGCATCCAAAAA